TCCCTTTGCCTCCCATACATAGCTGTGAAAGATTGCTATCTTTTTGTAGTACTAGTTTAAACAGAAAAAATAATAAATGAAAATGCAAGAATGTTGAAGGTCTGACTTGAAACCTACAGAATTAAGGAAATTCAGAGCAAAGGCTGGTGTGCTGTATGTAACTTAACCTGATGGGTATCAACACTGATACAGATTTAGATATCTCTACAATGTGTAGGCTTCTTAGATAGACCAGCGATGCTGTTTCAGTCTTGATCCTGAATACTCTGTGCAAACCAAAACATTTCTAAGTATTTTCAGGGTGAATATTCACAGCTGTCTGTGAAAAACTATTTTCTAAGGTTTTAATGTGTGCATGTTGATTAGGCCACAGACCTAAAGGTGGTCAGTTGGGACTGAAAAGGAATTTGCTTTATGGAAAGCTGAAATTTACAGTATCTTAAGCATTCATTTTTCATATATAGTTACACAATTTCTATAACTCTAAAGAATTTAAAAGAGAACAACTTAATCTCAACAATTATTGTAAATAAAAAATGGTTAAAATGCAGTCTTTTGATGATTTATAAATAAAAAATCCCATTTCGGAGTGAAATTATCTATTTCATTACATGCACCATACTTTGTTTTGGAAGGGGAAAACTGTGAAGTGATTGCTTGAGATGCACAACTTTTGATGCATTGATGCATATGGGCCCAAAGTGGTACTGAAACATAAGCATTAATTGCATGGATCAACTTGCTGAATGTATGTCTCCATCTCCAGGATGAAATATAAACTTTTATTTTCAATGACTTACAAAAGAACTTTCTTTGAAAAGCAGCAAATTAAATGCTACTCATGACTTAGCTTTTAAAGTGCCAAATGAAATGGTGCTACTGGAGTTTATTTAGATAACCTCTGATAAAAAGCTTAACATTGAAATTCACAGAACTTTTTGATGTTGCAGAGAAGACATAAGTAAATCTGGAAAGGATATACATGAATTGATCTAAATATTAGATGACATATATGCTTTGATCTTATAACTATACATTGAACCTGGCAACAGCCAGAGCACTAAGTTCTCTTATTGCCCTTCCACTGCCATTCTAACAGAGTGGCAGTGCAGATGCCTATACTGGGCAAAGCAATCAGCCAGAAGTACAGGCAGTCCCCGGGTTATGTACAAGATAGGGACTGTAGGTTTGTTCTTAAGTTGAATTTGTACTTAAGTTTCTCTGCCTCGCGCTTCCTGGAATCAGCCGCTGATCAGTTTCAACAGCAGCTGAATCTGGACGCCTGGGACAGAGCAGCTGGGGCGCTGCCGAGTAGGTCCCCACAGTGCAGCGCCGCACCTCGGCGCTGCGGGGACCAACCCAGCAACACCCCAGCTGCTCTACCCCAGGTGTCCCCAAGTCAGCTGCTGCTGAAACTGACCAGCAGCGGCTGAATCAGGACGCCTGG